ATATATGCTAAACAGTCTGAATTCTTTCTAAATATGTTGTATAATAAAAGTAATTCTCAAGTCTGCAGTCGGCACGCAGAAATATTTACCTGCAAGACTCTCGCACGAGACACAAGAATACTTGCACGAGACTCGAGACGAGACCAATGAAAGTCTCATCTCGTTTTGTCCGAGTCTCGTCTCGAGTCTTGTCTCAAAAACGGGTCGAGACCATGCGAGACTCTCGAAAACGAGACTCTCCCGGGCACCACTACTTATCCAGATCATCTTATTATTAATAATCTTAGCGCACGGTAATTTACTATATAATAATCTGATGTAGGTAGAAGAAATGGAAGAACATATCTGCATTCCATTGCAAGATGTGGAAGTTCTTCTATAAAGCAGACTTTTAGATAGCTGGCACAATAGCATCAAGTCGAGAAAGTCCATGTACCATATCAGCATCTTTTCGCGAAATGAATTTCAACAAGTAATCATATTGAAAAGTAATATTCTCTGATATTTCTATGAACATAAGAAATGGGTATACAGTATGATGCAAATGTATTTAATAAATTCATTATTTCAGAAATGGGCGACATTTGAAGAAATTCGAAAAACACGTGAGTTTTAATTTTTGAAGCCTCATCTCATGACATTCATATGAGAGATGTTACGTCACTGGTGTAGAAGTAATGACGTAATGGACGATTTTTTCAAATACAAACTGGGGTCATGTGACACCTCGTTTAAAATGTCTACTGATCGTCTATCCAACAGTCAAAATTTTGTATAAAAATATTGCAATTAAAATGGATTATCATTTGGTTAACTGAATCTTGCAGAGGTCTGCTACTGAGAATTGAACATCGAAGGGTCGTCTAGTTGAAACGATACACAATAAAAAAAGTTCTGAACTCTAGTTTTTGGATTTTTTTTCGGAAGTCGTCTTGTTTTGAAATGAATTTATTCCATACATTTGCATCATTCTGTATGTAGGTACATATATGAATACATATGAAGAAATACATTGAGAATTCGCATTCTCCATGTGATGAAAATATTAATTCTTTCTTGGTTTATTCAACAGAAAACAACAACTTTTCTGGCTATATGCCACGACGAACATTGAATCACATCTATTGAACACACATGATAAGAATTCGAAAACAAAATCTTCTGAAGTAGATAATTTTCATTCTCCTTCAATAGATGTAATTCTATATTCGTCGTGGCATAAAGCCAGGAAAGTAGTTGTTGAATCTTGAATAAACCGAGAAAGAATCATTATTTTCATCACATAATGGAGAATGTGAGTTCTCAATGTATATCTTTATGTATATCCATTTTTTTGTGTTCATAAATATATCTAGGAATTAATATTCCTTTCCAATACTTTCATCCGATTGAGGGGTTCGAACTTGAACGACTTGTTATTTTTATAGATCTCAATCGCAGATTCATGATTAGGTTTTCTCAATTCAGAATTTCTTTCCACCTCCTGTGTGATGAATTTCAATTTATCGTACATGAAAAAAAAGAAAAATGATAGTAATCGCATTTATATTCTGATCCAGATCATCTCATTATTAAATCACGGTTATTTACTCATAATTTGATGAAGCTAGGAGAAATCAAAGAACATATCTTCATTCCATTGCAAGATGTGGAAATTCTTCTGAAAAGCAGACTTTCAGATAGCAAGCACAATAGAACAAGTCGAAGAAGTCCATGTACCATACCAGCATCTTTTCGCGAAATGAATTTCAACCAGTAATCATATCTTCAACTGTCCTCATCTCTTTCATAACTGGTGTCATTCATGAATATAGTACTCCAATGAATGCCATGGAGATTCCTCTGAATACTCCTCATCTTGGTATCTCTTTCAAGACCATAAATCATCTAATATAGAAGTCTACAAATGGGTTATACACAATGGGCGTGTACACCTCAGTAGAACTTTGAAATCAAACCATGTTCATAATGATCCTTTTATATACATAAATAATGATTGACGATATAATTCGATCGAAAAATTAACTGGAATATTTTATTTTTGGACAAAAATAATAGTACCTTCTGAAAATGGACCCTCTTATGACGTAGAAACCTAATCTCGCCATAGTGAGAAGAAAATATCAAACGCCCGACGGAGACTGAGGCAACTGATATATTAATTCTTTCAACTTTGATCTCGCGCTAATTCACTCTGGCAGAAATCATGTATCATTCACCTCTGTCTGGAATAGTCTTGTTTCAGTATTAGGGTTTCGACGTCACATCATCGCCTCGTTTTCAGAGGCTCGAAAAATCGGGGATTTCAATAATTCTCAATGAAACGTAGGGAGCTCACAGCAAGAAACGGTTTGCGGTGGTGATCTAGTTTGGGTGAGTTCTATCAAATTATGAAATACATTTTTTTTTGTAAAATAACCCCATTACAAGCCTAAAATTTTGCTACAGTAAGAGAAATAGTACCGAGAGGAAGACAATGGTCATTCATCTGGTCTAAAATGGTTCACACATTGATAAGAAATGAATAGCGCTGGAATTCCTGATGTAACTCCGAAATAATATTTTTTTTGTGGGGTTTATTGGATTTCTTACATTTGCCATGGATTTCCATCAAGTAACGGTCGAGACAATTAAAAAAATATTGACTACTTCATGTCCGATTTCAAAATTCACTCACCGCTTTTGTAAGTCGCAAAGTCGCTGAACACGTTGAAGGAAGATTCCACTGGACCATGCCTCATTATGTCCAACTGCAACGTCTGGATGAACCCTTCGATATAGTACGCCTCTGCACCATAGGTTTTCGATTTCTCGTAGGATAGGGTGGATCCTTTATCGCAACTGCGAACGCATTCGGGAGTGGCGTAGCCCTTAGGCGGGCATTGGGGAAGGCCGCCAGGGGTGCCATCGTGTTCACAGGGTGCCAGGGAGTAGGCTTTGCATCCCTATAAACGAGCGATAAACATTAGATAGGCCAATCAAATAAGATCCAATTAGCCTGAATAGAAAAAATAATTGATAAAAATCTAAAAATTGGTGGAGACCTTCATCTTGGCTCACTATTGACTGTTCTTAAAGTCCGGACCCGTATCAGCACGGCTCGGTCCGCCATCTTGGAAAAATGGTACACTGATTTAGTTTTTCCCTCATATTTCCGTAACCGTCCATCCTATCTTATCAAAGGTTATGATAAAAATTCAAGATCTTTAAATTCCCTATGAAAAAGGTTTCATTAACTTTTTTTATAATATCGATACATTTGTGTCAAATCACCAATGAATATATAAATGATGTTCATTATTCTCCATTTTACGAAAATTTTCGGAATTACAATGTTCCATTGAATAATTTAGAATGATTTGTCCTATACGAATACTTCTGCCTACTCTGTGACGACACAAGGAGAGAAAAAGATAAGAGGTCAATAAGGTTATAAAGCCCTGACACGTGTGCACATGTCTGCACTGGCACTTGCACTTCCACTACCTCAAACAACTCATTTGCAGGTCATACACAAAATATGCTGTCTTTTTTCATGCTGGCCACATCCTTCACGCTAAAGCATGCCATCTCTATCTTCACGATATGCTACATTCGAAAAATCATATGGATATTGAAGAATACCGTAAATTTGTTGATTCTTCACAATCAGACGAACCGACAAATTTTGGTCTGGAACTTGGTCAGACATGGTTATTGAGCAAACTTTGATGAGAAGCATAAAATCCACTGGTGGTCTAACATGTCGAGGCTTCAAAAACAGTATTCTTGGCTAATGGATTCTGGCAATGCTTGCTCTTCTGGACAACTGTGACAGGTAAGAACAATTTTGCGATGTATCTTTCATTAGTAGCGAACAGCATGCCGATTCAAGGGAGTCACGAGAAGAACGAGATGACGAGGATGTGAAACGGTTGCAGCACTGGCTATTTTCTCATGATCCTTTTTCGAATTCAGATAAACTTTTCTCAATAAGTACCGGAGTTGTTGGAGATAGTACTATCGATTGCTACAATGCTCTTGAAAATGGTGTACACGGTATTAGGAAAATAATAGGAAACAATTTCGGAGACGTGAAGTTTGAGCGTTCTGATAAAGTTCATCCTCTATAGCAACTCTCAACTCTGCTATTAAAATCACCGACGTGATAGTACCAGTTGATCCTTCGATGCTATTCCAATGAATCATCATTGCTAAAAAAGATTATGAACAATTATCCGGTTATCTTGAATACGAACTGGCACCATACCCCCTTTCTTTATTCAATGAATCAGGTATGCGGTGTATGGCAGATATGTAATAGACAGTGGGTATCTCGTGCACCGTGTCATTTGGCATCAAAACCAGACATATCAATCAATTTGCCAAACATACGTGAACAATGTGAAGAAATAATTAGGAACAGCAGCAACCCTTCAAGCATTAAAACAGCGGAACAATGCTTGCGGTCTGCGAAAAATACTAGCGTAGATATACTCTTCGATGAGACAATTGCTGCCACTTTCTCACAAGAAGAATTTCTGGGCAATGGAAAGAATAAAACTCGATTGATTTCGATGTTATCAAAGAGATTCGAGGCTGGGGGATTCACTATCAAACATGCCAAAGATGATGCCGATACTCTAATCATCACAACAGCGATAGAAGTATCATCCAAAGAAAAAGCTGTGATTGTTGGTGAGGATATATATTTGCTCGTTCTACTCACTGCTTTAGCTCCACAAGAACGGAATATTTATTTTCTGAAACCAGGAAGGGGCAAAATTGAATAACAAGAGCTAGGGACCGATTTTTCTTGGCTATGTATGGTGCACCTGTGACTGATACCTCTTTGAATAAACATCGTTTCAATATCTTCAAGGAGTCAGCGTATAAAAACAAATTGAATTTGGCTTCGTTGCCTCCCACAGCTGCAACAGCAAAACAACACTCTTTTGGTGTGTATTACCAGATACAAAAATGGCGTGGTAATGAGAAACTTGTGCACACAATGAAGGCACCTTGGATTCATTGCTGAGGTTGATATCATGCAATTGTAAAAAAGGATGCACTTCCTCCAGCGGGTGTAGAAAAGCAGGACTGAACTGTGCAGCCATGTGTGGGTACTGCCATGGTACATGTATGAATTCAGATAATTCGTGTGATACTGAGAAGGAGATAGATCATGAAGATGAAAACTTTTTCGTGTTTGATGCGGAGGACAGAGATGATGATGATCATTGATCTGCAGTACCTCAGTCATCTGCTCGCAGGACAATTAATTTTTTTCTATATAAGTACTTGTTCGAATGAAAAATTTTTGTATACACAAGGAAATATTATATAAGTTTTTAATTAATCTCTTCAAATTACATCATTTCCCACAAATTCTATACAAAGTGTATTTTTTTGGCAATGAATACAAATATCCAAATATTTAACAGTGTATAACAGAAGAAATATGGAAAAGAGGGAAAAAAATGTTATCAACCTTTCGTATGTAGAATTCAATTAGCTTCATTTTTTGTAATGACTTTCAATACGATAGAATCAACAATAACTGAGATATGAGAAAAAAACTGGATTAGTGTGCTTTTTTTCCAAGATGGCGGATCGAGCCGTGCTTATATTTGTCCGGACTTTTGGCATAATCAACAGTAGGCCAAGGTTGATGTTTCCACCAACTTATAGCTTTTTATCAATTATTTTTTTTATTTTTTCTAATATGACTGAACTAAGAAGGAGAGTAGGTCTGCAGTACCGGATTTAGGGAGGGGGGGCTATGGGACTATCAGCCCAAGGCGGTGAAATTTAAGAGGCGGTAGGGAAAAAGAAATAAGGCAAGCAGCAATATACTCATCGCCGACGAGGCGACAATCGATCTGATCACAGATCTACGAATGGAAATTGATGTGCGTGAAACGTGTTCTCTTGTGTCACTTGACCTGCGGAAGGCATTTGACACTGTCAACCAACCATGCAATAGTTCTCAAAGAACTGAAAAACACAGGTACAAGAGATTCGGCAAAAAATTGGTTCACAAGCTATCTGACAAAAAGGAATCAGTTTGTGAGTGTCAATGGATTGGGAAGTGATCTCAAAGAAATCACTTGTGGAGTTCCGCAGGGATCCATTTTAGGACCAACATTATTTTTAATTTATGTGAATTCCATGTCTGAGCTGTCTTTGAAAGGACATTTAAAACTGTACGCTGAAGACACTAAAATAGTCTATTCCGGTAAGATAGCTATAACCATTCAGCAACACATTCAAAACGATCTAATCAAACTTAATAATTGGTTGGTCTCTCATAAGTTGACACCAAATGTTAAGAAATCATCATATATATGTTCATAGGTAGGACCATAATGAATGTAAATAACTGTATTGCAGTGCGATTTGGGAACGATAATCTCTTATATGAAAAAGAAGCGAAATATTTAGGTCTTATCATAGATGAAACATTATTCTGGACAGGACACATAAAAATAGTAAAAAAGAAGATAGCTCCATTCATTGGCGTACTGCTGTATAGAATAGCAAGTTATATATCTTTGAGCGTAAGATATTATCTAGGGAGTTAGGAAGATGCCCTAATATTCGCATATACAGGGTGTCCGCTAAAAGGAGGTCAATCCATTAACCATATATTCCTTGAACAAAAACAATATGAGTTTCTAAATACGATTTTTCATTTTAGCCTTCCATATTCGATAATTAATTAATAATGGAAATTAGAAACTGTTTTTTTCTAATTTGAAATTATTATTGAAGTCAAAATCAAGATTACAAAAAATATCGTAGCCTACTGCAATCCGTTCAATATGAAATTTCAATTGTCGTTCTCTCCATCAAATCAAATTTGAAATACGATGTGTGATTCATCGTTGGAACGGTTATTTTGAGTAGAAATTAAAAGTTGCGGAAAATATACAGGGTGCTTTTCAAAATAAAAATGTTACAGTCACTTCCGGTCACACCGGAAGTGACTTTCAATTTTTGTTTTTCTCAGTTGAAGCTTACTCGAACGAATTGAAGATCAGGCAATTTTCGAATTTTTATTTTTCGAAATGGCTGAGATAATTCATTGGAACAGGTATACTGGGACACCCGGTATATCGGCACATTCTTTGAAGCATTCTTGTGACCTCCATCCACTTCTATGATATTGTTGACTATTTTTTGATCATTCCGGGGTTAATAATTTTCTTGTCGAAATAATGTTATCTGCAGATCCATACCGAAAAAATCACTTTAAACACAATTATATGGAGTTTAAGAGATACAAATCATGATATCGTTCGATGGAAAGGTGCATGATATTCCTGTGAAATTGTCATACCCTCAAATTATACAGAGAGGCTTAAATTGTTTTTTCAATTCGGAACTTTTGGAAGTGATTTTTCTCGAGTTTTTCAAATAGAACACCCCATATATTTTCAGACCATTTGGTTTGAAATCGAAACACGAACATCTTTTATCCCAATATCCATATCCGTAACCATTTTCGAGCTATTGAATTTCGAAAATTATAGGAATAGACCATGCATTTTCATCGATACACACTTTCATCTGTTATTAAAACATCAAAAGTCCAATTAATAATTCAGTAGACTTGTTTTTTCATTAAAAGGATTGATACCAGAATTAAACCAAATAGAAAAAGTTCATATGCTAGTTATTCACAAAGTAAAAAAGAAAAAAATTGTAAAGTACTATCCCTATTTTGATGTTCTATGAATTCATGGGATATTTTGAGAATGGAAATGATTTCTCTTTTCACTTCGTAAATTACTAACATATGGACTATTTCAGATGTTTGCTTTGATTCTCGTTTGAATTCTTCCAATAAAAAAACTGCTTAACTGATTTATTGATTGGGCTTTTGATGTTTCAATAACAGATAAGAATATGTGTATCGATGAAAATGGTCAACCTGGAATTTTCAAAGTTCAATAATTCGAAAATGGTTTCGAATATCAATATGGATGTTGAGATGAAAGATGTTCGTGTTTCGTAACAACACCAAATGACCTAAAAATATATGGGGTGTTCCATTGAAAAACTCGAGAAAATTCACTTCCAAAAGTTCCGAATTGAAAAATCATGTTTAGCCACTCTGTATAATTTGAGGGCATGAAAATTCTAGGGACGTCCAGATTCCGAGCTTTCGTTCATTCCCAGTACATCTATTTCAGGTTCATGAATACCTGAATCACTATAAATCCCCATTTCTTTAGTTGAAAAAGAAATGTAGAGTAGACAAAATCGTATTCGGAATAAAAAGTTGAAGAATGCGCTCCGACCGAATGACACTTCTCATCGAATCTTTCATAAAATTAGATAATCACGGCAGATAATACCTAATAGATGTTTTGTGATTATGAACGGCCAGTAAAAAATGAATTGTGAGAATTGCACTATGTTCATGTTCGCAAGGTTCCTACTGGATAGATATCAGAGCTGTCTAGATAGTAATTATGTCAGTGCCAGCATCCACGATAATCAAAGCAAAAAATGGGTATAAACTGTGATGAATATAATGATTTATGTGGTTTGAGCAGAATTTGAGTATTTTTAGTTCATTTCAGGGGTCTTCTTCTTCTTCTTCGAAGCACTGGTGGGCGGGTGAACCCCCTGCACGTGGGCCTCCTTATTCGGGCCCATTGTGCGCCCACATGTTACGACATTCAGCTGGGTATGCCGACTGCCTTGGAGAAGTTCAGCAGCTTCCTCAGCTGAATCTCTTTTACGTCCTCTGGCCTCAAAATTATTTGGCCAAGGACAGCCCTCCTCTGATGCGTCAGTGCTGGACACTCAGTGAGGACATGTGATGACGTTTCGTCATCTTCCAGGCACCATCTGCAAAGGGGGTCATCCTTGATCCCAATAAGCTCTAGGTGCCTATTGAGGTGGTTGTGCCCCGTTAGGAGCCCTACTACCATTTTAAGGTTTCGCCTGTTTAGGAATAAAACCTCTTTTGCGAGCCTCTTCGAAGGTTCCTTTATGTGGAGCTTCGATTGTCTCATTCCTGGTGTGTCCTGCCATATTTTGAGGAATTGCTTTTGCAGCTGTTCCTGAATAGAGGACATTGCCAGGCTATTTGGTATTCCCAAGATTGGTTCCGGTTCGACCGAGGTCCGTCCGGAACCGATCTTTGCCAGTCTGTCTGCCTCCTCGTTTCCGGGTATTCCCGAATGTCCCGGGACCCACATGAGGCTGACTTTTCTTGATTTTGCCAGGTTTTCCAAGGCTTTTCTGCACTCGGACACCAATTTGGATGTGATCCTATTGGATTGCAAAGCCAGTATTGCAGCTTTGCTGTCCGAGCATATAGTGATTGGTCTACGACCTCTCATAATTAGGTTCTCTTGGACGCAGGTGAGTATTGCAAGTACTTCTGCCTGGAACACTGAGGCATATTCGCCCAAAGGAACTGAAATTTCTTTACCTGTTTCTTCATTGTATACCCCTGCACCTGAACCGCCCCCAAATCTTGAGCCATCCGTGTACCAGATTGACTCATTGGGAGGAGGCACGCCAGGTGTTGTGTCATTCCATTCTTCCCTCGTAGGGATGACAGTGTTTGGGGCTTTGTTGAAATTCAGAATTGGCAAGGTATTATCCCTTCTCATCATGAGGATGGGACAGTTTTCCTTTGCCTTATTCCATATGAGGGAGTGTCCATGATCTGCTTCTGTTCCGACCCACTGGTTTGCACCGTTGAGTCGGTAAGCAGTTCTCATGGCTTCGTATTGTATGAACAGGTGTAGAGGCGGCAGACCTAACAGAACTTCAAGAGCCCTGGTAGGCGTCGTTCTCAAAGCACCTTTTATTCCCAGGCAGGCCAGTCGCTGGACTTTATCCAGTTCTCTGTTGGTCTTGTCCACCATACAATGGACCCGTACGTAACATTTCAGGGGTATATAAACAATCAGATAAGGGCAACGCTGTTAGCGGGACAGACTCTTCACTAACTTCACTTACAGTTGTACTGTTGTATGGACCTCCGGTGACGATTCCTGTTTGTTGCCAGTATTCCCAAGCTGCATATGGAATTCCACCATCGCAATCTCCGCAACTCTTGCAGCAGGAATTCAGATCCTCGTCGGATACCAAACTTTGATCTTTTCCTTTCGATAATATGCAGATTCTATCAGACATGGCAGCAGCAGCAGCTACAGCCTGAAAATGAATATAAATAAATAAATACAACAACATCGATGATTTTTATGATGCGGAGGATTCATGATTCATTTACTGAGGTCTACACAAGTCTGAAAAATAAGTGCGGGGGCAGTCCTCGGGGACGGCCGATAGAAGTTAAAACTAAGTAGCTTGTGAATTATATAGAAATCTCACAGTTATTTTGACAAATGACTCATAATCTTCGACCCCGAAAATTCCCAGATACCAATTTTGAATAGAATCAGATCAATATAACAAAACTCATTCCCTTGTTGATTCCTCTATCTCGAATTTTCTGATTTTGACGAAGGAAACATAATTTCCGACCCCGAAAACCTCTAGATATGAATTCCGAATAGAATCGGATCATAATTACAAAAGTCGTTTGCCATATTGGATCCGCCATCTTGCATAACCTAATTTTGACAAAAGAATCATATTCTGAATATAATCGGATCATAATTACAGAACTCGTCCGCCATGCATACTGGATCCGCCATCTTGAATATACCGTATATTGTAAGAAAACCATAGTTTTGATGATAATTTCGAAATTCTACACGTAGACAATATAGAAATGAAACTCGATCATTTTGAATCATTAGAAAACAACATACTAAAAAATTCTGACATTTCACTTAACGATCAATTAGACCTCAATAGTTCACCATTGTTGAATTTGTTGTCTTAGTAGGTTTTTTTTTTTATTCTACACCACCCAATAGAAATCCATTAACAGGGTGAAAGAATTATAGGTACAAAAAAATTTATAGACTTATCGAGTGAATACATATAAAAATATAAGGTTAGAAGAAATGGAAGTACCTTGAAAAAACTCACCTTCATGCAGAATTTGCAGCAATTACAATAACATCAATGAGAGATGTGACATTTTCTCTTGCAGCATTGCTTCGTTGAAAAAATCACTTTTCGAAATTATTTTTTACTGCTATAGTAAAAAATAATTTCGAAAAGTGATTTTTTCAACGAAGCAATGCTGCAAGAGAAAATGTCACATCTCTCATTGATGTTATTGTAATTGCTGCAAATTCTGCATGAAGGTGAGTTTTTTCGAGGTACTTCGAGGTAAAATAGATTGTTTTGCCTAGGATTGACTTTGGGAACATGAAAACTGAGCATGCTTAACAGATCTCTACAGCTGATTTGGCCATGGATTACCTTATAAAGAAATATCAGAGCAGATATATTCCTCCGATTTTCAAGAGAATTGAAGTTATGTCTCTCTAATAAAGCATTATTAGATATTCCAACAGCTGGGTAGACACCATATCTTCCTTGAATTATAGATATTTCATGAAACGTCTATTGATTCGTTCAAGGCTATTTATATGAACATTGTAGTATGGACACCATATGACAGAAGCATTCTCCGTTTTAGATCGAACATAGGAGTTATACTTTATCAAGACTCCTTCAACCTTCATCCATAGAACGGCTAGTTTCTGGAATTCATTGCCTGTGGAAGTATTCCCAACAACATATTATCTCCAGAAGTTCAAAGAAAATTCCAATACCTACCTCCTGTCCCTATCCTCCCTAGGAACGCACGATGTTCTTTGAACATTATAGGGATTCCTTTTTGTGCGCTCCAAGCGATAAAAAGAAAATACAAAAGGAGCAGGGTATCCGTTTTCACAGAATCGCGAGTATTTCTGACAATGAAACTCAAAGCCCTGGAGCATTCATTGGTGATTTTATTTATGCATATGCACATGTGAATTGAAAAAGATAATTTATGATCAAAGGTTATACCTAGGTCACGGACAGAATTAAATCGAGGGAGCGCGTCATTGCCAATTGAGTTATTATGAATAAAGTTATTCTGTTTACGTGAAAACGTTACAATCGAACACTTTTTGGCGTTCAACAGCAGATGATTATTTATGCACCAGGTATATACCCTATCTAAGGCAATTTGTAAGGTAGCACAATCACTCATGCATTTTATCCTTTTATATAATTTCAGATCATCCGCATATAACAAACAGTTGACTCCAAAATCCTCAATAATGTCATTGATGGATAAATTGAAGAAAAGCGGTCCCAAGACAGAGCCTTGTGGAACGCCAGATGTTGTTACAAATTTCATGGATTTAGAACCAAGACATTCTACGTAGAGAGAGCAGTTCTTTAAATTGAATAATAATTAAATTTAAAGGGTTGAAGAAAGTATTCAAGATACCTGAGAATCCAAAACCATTCAATTTACTGAGTAATATATTATGGTCTAGCTTATCGAAGGCGTTGGAGAAATTTGTGTAAATAACATCGATATATAATATATGTATATGCTATTTTATGTAGGTATTTTGATGTAGATATTCTACCTAATTTCCGAAAATGAAGGTCTATCGATTTTTTTTAAAGTCTTCGGAAGTATTCGGAATCTTTCAGATAAAACAGCATTTTGTTAGTTATGAAATTGCGCAACTTTGCCTCCATTTCATCCTCTCTGTTCTCATTGACCGATTATGTAGTGGAGTGTTATAGTTTCTATGGACCACACACGTACGATATACCACAAGCATGAATCTTTTTTTAGTTTGGAACCCATCATTCGTATAGCTTGAAGCTCGGCCACTTACCCAGCATGATCCGCAGTCCGACTGATCTCTGATCAATCCGATCGACTTACAGTCGGGCCAATTTTCTCGAGCGTCGAAGGTATCAGGAATGGTCTCGCCCTCGACTCTGACATGGCGAACAGTCTTCAAATTCTTCGATTTCTCGCCTCTGATTACACCCATGCGACGTTTGATGTTGGACAGGGGCATATCTTTGGGGAAATTCCTGCCAGCTTTCCACGTGGTCTGCAGGCTGTTGATGTGGTCGATGTATTCATCGGAGAGGAAGTGGAATGGGACGGAGGCAGAGATCACTCCGGAAACGGCTACTAGAGCCAACAATCCAAAGGCTATCATTTTCGTTGATGCTCCTGGAAATAGAAGCAGGATGCAAATTTGACTTTCATCTGTATGCTCGGAATCATGAGGCAGAGCCTCAGCATTCAGTCATTAGAATGTTCGAGTGATGCTGCCAGTTGGTTTGTTATATTATTAATTTCAATAAACACATGTAGGTAGTAGTAGTAGTAGTAGTAGTAGTAGTAGTAGTAGTAGTTTATTTAGCAATATTCTGCTACTCATTTCACAACAACAATACAATATTTTAATCTAATATAATATACATATATATATTATCATACAAACAATGATTACAGAAACCTTATTTCATTCAAACAAATATTTATAAGACATTTCTCATTCCCTAATACTTTTCTTTCACATATTCCATAGCCTTTCTTTTGAACTCATTGAATATATCAATTGATCTTATATATAATGGTACAGCACTAGTCCATTATAAATTATTGACTGCTTTGTTGATGTTTTCTTCGCCGCTACCACATAAATATTGGAAGCCGTTCTAGTGTTGTATTTATGGATTTTATCAACAAACTCGATTTTATCTGACCTTGGAAGCATTTTGTGCAATATTTTGTAAATAGATAGTACAACATTAAAGACCAATCTTTGATTTATACTCATGAAATGTAGAAATGCTAGCATCGCATTTGTTGAGGTATACTCATTTACTTTCAATATAATTCTCATAGCTCTATTCTGTTGTATCTGATATTATTTTTTTCCCCATCGTTACAATAATAAACAATGGTGGGGCAGTATTCAAAAAGGGAAGCTATAATGGCCTTACATAGCGTTACTCTAGAAAACATCGACAAGCTCTCACTAATCCTATAAAAGTAATTTATCCTCTTAATAATTTCATCGAGTGTATACCTAATATGTTTATTAAACTTTAACTTGCTATCAATAATTAATCTCAGATATTTACATTCTGGAACATACCACAGATCTTGATTGAATAATTCAAGCTTAGTAACTGTTTTTAGGTCTACATTTGTTCCATGTTCCAAATAGCATTTCTTTTGTTTTTTTCGTATTCACAAACAAGAAGTTATGTTCTAACCATTCTTCAAATTTTATCAATTCATTTTGCATCGTATTACATACCTCATCTACTGACTTCCCAGATACTGAGATTACCGTATCATTGGCAAATGAATTAACTGTTGTTTCTACATCAAAGCAATTCACAATATCATTGATGTATGTGATGAACAAAATTGGGCCGAGTACCGACCCTTGTGGTACTCCAAATTCAACCTTCTGCTTATGTGACACATAGTTGTTGATTTACACTTGTTGAGATCTATCATTCAGGTAATCTTCAAATCATTTGAGTGCTTCATACCGTATTCTGTACTTTTTAGGTTTTTCAATCATTATTTTTCTATTGATAGTCTCAAACGCTCTCTTGGAGTCTACAAATACCGATAACATTATTTTATTTTGCTCAATCTATTCTGTCCACTTATCAATCACCAACTAAATAGCTAGAGGAACTGTTACATTGTTTCTGTGATGGAAACGTTATTTCCATGTAAAAATCTCAACTCTGAAGAAGTGAAAGCGTTGAAACAACGTTAAGTGCAAAATCTTATGGCTATATATTGAAAACATCATGACTAAATTGAGAATGATGAGAATTTTTCAAGAAAGATGTTCTGACTATATAGGCAACTTTTGATATCATTATGAATTGAAAGATAAATCAGTTAAACTAAGGTTATCGAGGTTCAAAAGGAAATGTGACGATTTTTTTAAGCCTGAAATATTTCTTATTCAAGTGTTTTATTATCATAGCGAACAATCGAGAATTAACGCAGTTACCTCCCCTGATTTGAGATATTTTGCCAAATGACAATAATATTTGAATACAATTTGAAATGTATCTATATGTTTTGCTAATGCAGTAGCTTTGTCAGTTGATATACTGGTACAATGTACTATACTGTGTTTTCAAAACATGTTGTGTGTTCGGGAATTTTGTGGAAATCCTATCGTCTATGAAGTTTTTACATTTCTTAAGAATTCTTCAATATGTATATATGCATAACAAATTATATATGTTCGTGATGAATCAATGTAGTTATAACTTAGTTGCTAATCAAATTTTTCCAATTAAATTTCTCAATCAACCTGACATGAAAAACAAAGATACTATGCTCAGAAAACTGGTATAATATTATCCAAATATTTGTGAACATAGATCTCCTGATACTCCCATTAGTCCCGGATCAAAAGGAGTGGAGTGGTAGGAGAGGAAAGTCCTTTCCTATCAAACTAACCGTATATGTGGTTATTCAATTGTTAATAGTTCAAAACTCACCCAATTCCGTCCGTTTCTCCCTACAATCGTGTTGTTATCTTGATGAAAAATATTTTTTTATTTTAATTTTATCCGCATGGATGCACCTTCCCATAGAGAATATTCTCATCACCTGTGTTACGAACTTCGTATCAATCGAAATAAATGTTGTTTTTCTAAAGTTTACCCTCGAATGAAATTATTCAGTTGATTTAAAAACTACCCCACAAACATGACCATTGACCAACTCTCAAAGTTGTCATACTATGATACAGATTCCGAAATGGTATATCATATGGGGTAATTCGAAACAACCTTATATAGTTATTTTCAATATTTTCAGCACAATTCAATAATTGTCGAACCGTCGCATCAATTGAATAATCACATTATACGGTTAGTTTGATTGGATATGACCGGTGAATTTTCAATTGCAATGTTACGTCACCTTCGCTAGTTCAATGAGTTCAGAAAATAGTCGAAGCAGGATCTGAGATTTCAATATTTGTTTATCTTCGATATACTCAAAAAATCATTTCCAAATAATTGATATTTTGTATCCGAAGATTGCATCTCTTTCGAGACTTCAATAGGTTTCAGAAGCAGATTACTTTTTCGACACCTCGAATATCATATAGGAACATTCTTTCGTGCGCTCCAAGAGATAAATAAAAGTATAGATATCTGTTTTACTAGCTTCACTAACTTTTCTGGATCAATTTAGTTGACAAAATCAGATTCTTGATGTTACTGAATGTCCGTTTCAGTAGTTTGTGCGACCTTGCATGAATATAGTGACAATCGGTGACGTAACATTACACATCACGTTGGAACATTGCTGCAATATTGTTAGTATATACAGTGTGACCCACTCGGTGACCCACTTCTAATGGAAACACCCCTGTATCTTACGTAATCGTTGGGTAAGGATCCTGAAATTTGCTGGAGCGAGAGATATACCAAAAATGCACTCTATGACCAAGTGGGGTCATCTTCAGTACTACACACTGCTCGCCAACAGTCATGGAACCAACCCAATTTCCGAAATATGATATTAGGAGTCAAAATAGGTTGAAAATCACTTCGGATTCGGAATCAGGACGCCCAATTCACTAACTATTCATAGTTTTCCTGGAACATTTTCAGTTCAGAAAGATTAAATTTTTTCTCTCTTCTCATGGAAGCACCCCTGTATCTCACGTAATTATTGAGGTAGGGTTCTGATATTTGCAAGAGGAAGAAGAAGTCCAAAGATAAAGTCAATTACGTAAGATACAGGGTGCTCCCGTGAAAAGTGCGACAAAATTTAATTTTTCAGAATTTGAAATTTCTCAGTAAAAATATGAATAGTTAGTGAATTAGACGTGCTGCTTCCGAATATCATTTTCCAGAAATTGGGGTGGTTCCATTGCTGTTGGCGAGCAGTGTATATCACTGAGGATTACCCCACTTGGTCATGCATTCTTGGTATATCTCTCGCTCCAGCAAATTCCAGGATCCTTATTCAACGATTACGTAAGATACAGGGTTATTTCCATTAGAAGTGTGTCACACTGCTTTACTTAGTAGGATATAATACAAATCAAGTCATAAATCGAATTTCACATACCTTTTCTGATTGTTATTCACAACTAAATGAGACGAGTTGATATTTTTGTCGTTCTTAAATATATTCTCGTACAAGTACCTCTCAAGACAAATTTCGATTATTGATCAACGACAGTTGATAAAAAGATACAAATGTAACAAAAGGAACATAGATGTTTTTGATATTGTCGAGTGGCAATTTCTGTAAACCGAGGATTTTTATGTACTACGTCAAAGCCACATTATACAGGTTTTATCTAGTGCTTGTGAAAATTCAGCTTCATACAGAATGAGTAAATGATCTTGAAAAAAAAAAGTGTGACGAGTCATGAAATTCTGAGGATTTTTTTAATCGCTTGGAGCGCACAAAAAGAAATCCCTATAATGTTCAGAGAACATCGTGCGATCCTAGGAAGGATAGGGACAGGAGGTAGGTATTGGAATTTTTTTTGAACTTCTAGAGATTATATTATGTTGTTGGGAATACTTCCTCAGGCAATGAATTATAGAGCCTAGCCGTTCTATGGATGAAGGAGTTTTGATAAAGAGCTGTTCGACATCTTTCGAGGTTGACAACGAAAGGATGTGCTGACTGGGCTTGTCTAGTTCGTCTGACTGATCTAGCTAGTGAAGGAATGATGGCAGACATTTCTGAAGAACATTTCCCGTGGAAGTATCGATAGAAAAGTTAAAGGTCGCCGACCTTTCTACGGTGTTCCAATGATGTCAGAGAGTGAGTGAGTGTGGCGTCAACCATGCACCAGGCGAATGGCTTTTCTCTGGATGGGATCTGAGAGCATCAGCGTATGTTTCAGTGCTGAACCCCATATGTGGGAACAGTATTCTAGAACAGGCCGTATCTGCGCTTTGTAGATCATGAAAAGCTGTTGAGGTGTAAAGTAGCTTTTCGCACGGAACAAGAATCCGAGTTTTTGTGAGGCAGCTTTTGCGATGGATCTGACATGATTATCCAATGAAATAGTGTTGCTGATAAAAATACCGAGCATAGATATGGTGGGCTTGGTAGGGATGTTGGTGCCAGACATTACAATATCGGGCATACTGAGTTCCGCCTTTCTAGAGAAAATACAGGCTTTAGTTTTGGTGGCGTTGAATTCAACTAGGTTGTTGGTTCCCCAGGCTGTGATTTCAGCAAGGTCTTCATTGACAGCATTGACCTGCCTGCGCCGTGAGTTCTTAGTTTCCTGGGTAGAAATGGGAATTCTGGAAGAGAACGCAGTATGGAGGGTATACTATCATCTGCAAAGCTGTGGATGGGGCAAGTTGTTACTCCCAACAGATCATTGATATGAAGAAGGAATAATGTTGGTGCCAAAATTGATCCTTGTGGAACGCCAGAATTGATGCCAATTGTATCAGACGATACACCGTCCACCACCAGGTGAAGCGATCTGCCTGAAAGAAAACTCGAAAAGAGATGGCATTGCTGAGGTGGTAAGCCGTATGATGGTAGTTTGTGGAGGAGTCCTTCGTGCCAAACACGGTCGAATGCTTTCGCTATGTCCAACGCGACAGCTAGAGATTCCTCGTGTTTTTCTAATGGAGCTTGCCATAAATGGGTGACGTAGACAAGTAGATCTCCAGGAGATCTTCGGTGACGTAAGCCGTACTGTCTATCATTGATGATTCCTGAGCTCTCCAGATATTTGGTAAGCTCAATATTGATGGCTATCTCCATCACTTTGGAGATTACTGATAACAGGGCAATAGGCAAAACTTGCAGAGAATCGGTGTTAATTCTGGTGCACATTTTTTGAGGATAATGGGTGGAATTCCATCCAAGCGAAATTCGTCTGATAGTGCGTTGACGGAAGACGATTCCGGGCATTCGACTCTCAACGGGTGGAATATATCAGTTCGAACAGGTTGTTATCTCACGACTTTTGTTAATACAATTCAGGTAAACCTGTATACTCTCGTGAAGTTTTTCCATGATATAATTTATTTATTTCTCGACTTTTCTCATGATAATCAATTATCATGAATGCAAAAACATAGACAGTGCGGAGTTGATCGATGAGTAATCGAATATCGTGAATCTATATTTGCACTCAAGCACGTTCTGAAACAGTTACTCAAACTATATTCGAGATTTATAAATACAGTATAATATGTCCGAATATGCCCTCATTATTTCGTTGGAATGAAATTCAACAACCCTGCTTGACTCGCATTGTGATGAAAAATCAATTTTCAAAATTTCTTAATCGAATATATCTGATATATATATTGTTGGAGTATTTTGATCAATTTATATCAGTTCAACATCAATTCGGAAGAATTTCAACACTATTGAACAATAATTAATTGGTCTCTTCCCATTGCCTGGAAGTAGTGGAATTTTATTTATTCATGAATTTGTTAGCATCATGTCAGTATCTCATCGAAAATGAACCTATGACCTAGTTATTGAAATTGATTGGCCTCTAGCCTTATCTTTCAATCATAGAGTACAAAAAAAAGTCTGAATACGATAGGGGCTGATAACCGAATCTGAATCATGAAGATAACATCACAGTATTCAAGTTTGTTTCTGCTTAACCTCAATTGAAGGATATACCGATCCTAAAATGCTTCATTCTCGCTATACAGGGAGTTGAAGTTTGAGAATATATTTTTCATTGGCATCCCGAAAGTCACTATTCCAATTTTTCTAGAACTTGAGAGTTTATCGTCTTTTGCAATGAAGAAGAAACATATTTTGATGTCTTGTACAATCCACATCTTTTTACAAAGTACATTGTTGAATCAGGTGAGATTTGTCTGAAATCGATTGGTTCTAAGTTGGTGGAGCCAAATATGTTAAACCTCAGTCTCTCTAAGCAAGAGCATGAACATAATATGTGTTCTGGCGTTTCGTCTTCCACACATCAGAACCGACAGTCTGTTGCTTCAGACCCATTCTTCCCAGGTGGTATCTTAGACAACAGGGTCCCGTAAGCAGTCCTGTCAGAATTCACAGGTTACTCCTACTCCATTCTAGGATCTGCCTGGTTATATTTCTCGATGGTTTAGGCAGAAACGCCTCCGAATGGGTTAATTCTGGTGATTCAGACCAGTACGTGAGTCTTTTCCCCTCCGCACATTCCAATATGGTTGTTTTGGCCGCACTTGTGGTGATCACAAACTATGGTTCTGGTAATGACGGAAGTAAGATATGGTGTGCGTATTCGGCCATTATTACGTATTGAAAATTTCAGAAAAATCACTCGACCGGCCTACTATGATTTCTCTACGTCACAACGAGCAAGACGTTGATTCTACATTTTACCGCTAGATGGTGATGCTGCTAGTACTGACTGCTGTGACGAGTGGAAATAAAATGGCAAATGCCATTTTAGGTACGTGGAACATATGTAACAGTGGCATTAATCAACTCTGAATTCGAAAAATCTGCGACAATTTCAGAACTGACAGAAGTCATAATTGTGCAATGTCGCCATCTATAAGAAGATCAACGGAACCATCATTGCTCTCGCTGCTCTCAAGAGGTCGAGTAAAATTTCTGAAACGAAAGCGCATCAGTAATTACACCATATCTTACTTCCATCATTGTTCTGGTCATATAATTAGGTTTTCTGTTTGGCGAGAATGTCCAGCCAGGTACCCACAGCAAAGTAACTCTGTTGTTTGCACCCAGGCATTCTAGGGATTCAAAACAGCTCCATATACAAGCTTGTAATTCATCTTGTTGAAACTCAGTGCTTTTGAGAGGATACTGACTGACACAATACTGATGTTTCCTCACTAGAGGTCTATTCGTCATCTTTCTAGCAGACAATTGCGAAGACCTCTGTCTGGAAGATTGTAACATACTTGCCGAGATTGACAGAGATTACCGTCTTCGGTTTTCTGCTCAACATACGGGCTCCTACTTCAAGAGCGGTTTTCGAACAATCTGCCCGGAAAAATGGATTTGTTGCATTAACAAATTATTTATGCTCGAATTATTCTTGTTGAACTTAGCAACTTTTTGTTGAATCAACCACATATAATCATGATTATTTCATGGAAGCAGCTTGTTCAAATCCAATTGAATCAACAGTAAAATATCAATTTCATCAACAAATTATATGGTTTTCTCAAAAACAAATTATGTCGATCCAAAATAATGTCGATGTTGATTCAACTATGAACATTTTATCGATATGATGAAATAATGATCATTCTGCTGATTCATCATATACTTGAAGTCTGATTCTTCATGTTTGAAATATCGATTGGATAAATCGAACTTTTGATGATTAGCAATCCGATATAGTTTTGCATCAGCTGAAGATGAGTGAAGACTGGAGATTTATCCTAGAAGAGTCGACTAGTTTCCTAGTTTAGTTGCTTTTATTGACGTGAAATTTCAGAAAATTCCCGAATCAATACTGAATTTGATTCAACAGAATATTTTGTCGAATGGATGTACAGTTTCTCTTGAATCAACAAAATATTTCATCGAATCAACAAAATATTTCATTGAATCAATGAATAATGCATTGTATCAACCTTATATTTCTTCGAATCAACCAAATAATTAATTGAATCAACTAAAAATTTGATCAAATCAATATCTTGTTATTATGAATCAAACAAAATGATTGTTTGAGTCAATTATATATCTCTTCATAAACAATTCATGGATGTACCTGATTGAATCAGAGTTCATGCAAGACATTTCCATTCAATTCAAACATAAAATTTGCTCTGAAACAAAATATAGATTTACACATCTCAAGATTATATTTTGTCGTGCATAATAATATATGACAATTTTATTTGCATCATCCAATTACATTTTGCTTGATTCCACAATCATTTTTTTTTCGTGTGAGTACATTACGTGTTCTGTCTCTGGGAATTGGACTGATCCACTTATCCACTCGTCTCTCTTCGGGAAGAAGTTATGTTCCTGAAGCCGGACCTGTATATGGAGACAATGCGATGAAATCCAGAATGCAGAGTCAGCTTCCTACCGGACTTTATCTTGCTATTTTTGCTGAATATTTTCATACCGTAAATTATCTTCTAGATCATTATATAAAAAGGGAATAAGTATTTTATAGAACATTCCATTTTTATCACTTATAGCCTGCATTTTCAACTTGAATAATAACGCATCGAGAAAAGACAATCT